CCCCCCTTCTAGGTCCCATTCCTTAGGATCGAAGTATGATCTGAGCAACCCAAGGAGCCTGAGTTTATTTGGATAAGACCAAGAAGAAGTGTATATCACAGGGTGTTATCAAAAATAACAAAGCAATTCACTAGCAATCAGTGGTGACTTCAGCTCAAAGTAATTCCAATAGCTACCAAAACACCAGAAGCTTATTGCTAAAATCAGTCATTCTTGCCTACTTCAAAAAGCAAGAAAAATTTCTAGTAAACTCTCTAACCCTACAACTTAAAGAATTAGAAAGCTCCCCTGTGAGGTGTCCAGACCAGGGCTTTTGTTTGCAGGGAGTTTTTATTGCTGCTTCAATTTCATTAGTTGTTATTGGCCTGATTCTTCCTGATTCAGTTTTACATGATCTCACTCATATGTGGAATCTAATAAACAAAATAGACTGAGGGACAAAATAGATCCAGAGACACAGAAGCATGAAACAGACTGAGGAATCTCAGAGGGAAAGCAGGGCTGGGGGAGCGGACGGGGTGAGATTAATCAGAGAATTTACGTGCATATATGCAAACCCATGGACACAGACAATAGAGTGGTGAAGGCCATGGGGCAGGAGTGGGGTGGAGGGGATCAATGGGGGAGAAAAGGGGGACGTCTGTAACACTTTCAACAATAAAGATAATTTTTTAAAAAATCCTAGTTTAATTAAACCTGTGAATAAACCATATATTTAAGACAAAAGTTCTTGTTTACTTGAAACAGTCCCCCCCCCCTTGAGTACCTCTTAACTTTTATTTTTTTTAAAAAAATGACACATAAGTACAGGGAATTAAGCAACTACGACAGTGAACATGACCAGGGACAATGTTACTTAGGACGCACAGAGCAGCGCCCTTGAGCTCCGACAGAAACATTTGAATTTCTATATCCAACAGGAGTCCTTCAAAAATTAAGGCAAAGACAAGGCTTTGTTCTTTCAGGCAAGAAGAGCTGAGGGAGCAGTGACCAGCAGGCCTCACAACAAGACCCACCTAAGACGGGACGATGGCACCCGGGGCACCAGCATCCACTCCAGGCAGGAAGGACATGTCTGGAGGTAAAAATTACTCTGTTAAAAGTTGCTTTAAAAGGTAACTGGCTGTTTAGAGTAAAAGCTGTAACGCTGTGTTGTGAGGGTTATGACGTGAGATGTGGAACAGCAGGGACGGGGGGGTAGGAGTTTATTATCGGAAAGATCTTCTAGGGTACAGGACACAGCGTAATATTCCCTGAAGGTGAACAGTGCGAAGTTAAAGGTGTGCCTCGCAGGCCTGCACTGACCAGCAGAACAACAGCCCAAGGGGTCGCCACGGATGAAACCGTCAAAGGAAGTAAAGTGGAATCCTGAAGATACGCGACAGAAAAAAAGAGAGGAACATGTGGGACAAATAGAAAATCAATAGCAAGATACCAGACAAACTCAGCCATGTCAGAAATCACACTAAACGTAAACAACCTAAAAATCCCAATGAAAAGGCAGAAACTGTCAGATTGGATTTAAAACAAAGACAAGCGAGACCCAACTATATGCTACATATAAGAAACCTTACACGCCCTGATCAGTGTGGCTCAGTTGGTTGAGCGTCGCCCTGTACCCCAAAAGGTCGCCAGTTCAATTCCCAGTCAGGGCACATGCCCAGGCTGCAGGTTTGGTCCCAGGTCGGGGTGCATACAGGAGGCAACCAACTGATATTTCTCTCTCTCCCCCCCTATAAAAATCAATAAAAACATATTTTAAAAAGAAACCTTACAAGGTAGAGACACAAATAGGCTAATAACTGGAACAATATACCACACTAACAGTTATCCAGAGAAAAGAGTGGCTTATATGAACTTCAGACCAAGTACCTTCTGAGCAGGAACATTACCAGGCACAGAGGGGTCATTTCATAATGAGGAGAAGGTCAATTCATCAAGAGAACATCACAATCCTAAATGCTGTGCATGAAAAAGACATGAATCTACCTGGAAGGCACCTCGCGGGGTGATCTGAACATAAGTCTCTAACTGGGCAGGTCCTGGTGAGTAGTCACACCCCAGGCCTATTAAAGGTTCACCTTAAGCCAGCCCTGCCTGTTGTTTCTGCGCATCTAGGTTAACACACCTTTAAAATGGCTCTTTTCCAGACCCCTTGGAAGGGAAGCCACCCTCCAGAAATTTAGGACACAAGCTTGTTAACTATCCTGTAATCCAGTCACAGAGTTTTTCCTGGCTAGCTTTCTCCCACCTCCACACAATCTTCCTTGGTTCCCCCCTTAATTCCAAATGCGTGAAAAAAACTGCAAACTCACATTCTCCGGACCATCTGAGATCTTGCTTCCTGGCGATGTCCTCAGTTTTGGCTCAAATAAACTCTTATAAAAATTCTCTACAGGTCTGGACGTTTCTTACATTGGCAATGTCAACACACCTAATAAGAGCGCTTTAAATACGTAAGGCAAAAATGAAGAGCACCGAAGGGAGAAATAGACAAGAGTGCAACAAATGAAACCAAAGATTTTTTTTCTGAGCAGATAAAAAAAAGTCCAATGAAACCCTATCTAGTCAGATTGATTCAGGAAAAAAAGAGAGACGACACACAGCATCACCACCAGGAGTGAGACCGTGGCGATCACAGCAGATCCCACAAAACAAAAGGGTGGCGAGAGGATTCACCGAACCAACTCTACGCCCGTGTCTCCAACCGCTCGGAGGACACGGACAGCCCGCCAAGCTCGCTGCGGGGCACCGACCAGCCGCACGGCCCCGCACCTCCCGGAGACGACGAGGGTGCGATTTAAAACCGTTCAAGAAACAAAATTCAACCACGTAAATGTGAAGATGCAATTGGCTCTATTAAGCGATTCATGAATCTGGCAGCATCCCATCTAGCAACTAGAAGATACTCTCCAAGGGGCTGTACAAAATGGAAAGTTTTTATAGCAAGAAGGTGGGGTAGTGAAGCTATTGGCAAAAGACAAGGAAGGCTTATTTTGGAGCCTGACCGCTTTTATTTGGGGGAAAAGAGAGAAAGGGTTTTCATCATGCAGATTGCCTCCTCTTTCTATGGGGGATGCAGAGGGCACATGTGAGATTATTTTACTGGTGCTTGACNATGAAGGGTTTATAGCCCAAAAGAGGGGCTTATAGACAGAGAAGCTGGCGGGTTATTTCGGGGAAGACACGTCCCCTCGAGCAAGGCCGGGGTCGTATCAGGCCAGGACCCGGCTGAGTGGTTTGAAGTTCCCCTCCCGGGAGAGGCTGCAGCTGCCCTGAGCAGGCTGTTGAACCCAGGTTTGGCATCCTGGGCTTCGATCGAGGGACACCTTGGCTGGCCTGCGGCTTTTGTTTTTAATAAAACCTCCCCTCGAAGAACATTCCAGGACCAGGTGTCTCCACTGGTGGATTCTACCCAGAAGCCGGAGAGAGGGCGGCATTGCCGCTCGCCGCCCGACACCGCAGCCCGCCGGGCAAGGGCCGAAGGAAAGAAAACCACAGGCCTGAACGCAGGGCAGACGTTCCTGACAGAAGCTGAGCAAATCAGATTCCAGAGGATTTAGCCCGGGAACACCAGATCTTTATTTAAAAATATATATATATTTTTTTTAATCCTCACTGGAGGGTATTTTTCCCATTGCTTCTTCAGAGAGAGTGGAAGGGAGGGAGGGGAGAGAGAGAAGCATCGACGTGAGAGAGACACATCCACTGGTTGCCGCCTGCAGTCGCCTAGACCGGGGCCAGGGACGGAGCCTGCCACTGAGGTGCGTGCCCTTGACCGGGAATCGAGCCTGAGACCCTTTGGTCCACGGGCCGATGCTCTAACCACTGAGCAACACCGGCCAGGCCACCAGATCATTTTAACATCTGAAAATCACCGCATCTCATGCAGCACGTGAACAGGCTGGGGGCGGAAAGGGACCGCTGTCCTCAAAAGTGCAGAACAAGATTCTCACAAAATCCAAGCTCCCTTCCTGATACAAATTCCCCGAAGTCCTGGCCAGCGTGGCTCCGTTGGTTGGTGCATCCCGGGCGCCAAAGGGTTGCAGGTTCAAGTCCCAGCCAGGGCACACGCCTAGGGTGCAGGTTGGATCCCCAGTCGAGGGGCGGACGGGAGGCCACCGGGCGATGCTTCTCTCTCCCATCGGTGTTTTCCTCTCTCTTTCTCTCCCTAAAATCTATTTTTAAAAATTTTTTTCAAAGGACCAAAACTCCCAGAAAACAGAACAAAAGGGAATTGCCACAACCTGCTAAGAGGCACCTGTGGAACCCGTCCGGCCGACGCCCTCTGTCGTGGGGAGACCGGGGGCTGTGCTCCGACGCTCAGCAGGGGACGACGTCGCTCTCACCGCCCCGTCCATCGCCGCCCGGTAGGGTCCAGCCAGTGCAGCTAGAGAAAAAAAAAATCAATAAAAATAAACTTAAAGAAAAAAGAAAAATGCATTCAGCTCTTACAGGGGATCAGACGTAACCACCTGTGCAGAATCCTACAAAATCAGAGACTGACCAGGCTACGTGAGCGGCACAGGTGTGGCACAGAAGGTGGACGCGCGGGGACTTCTACCCGCCAGGCCGAACGTTCGCAAGGGTCACCGGCTAAAGGGGCTCTTTTGCCCGCCCACCAAAGCCCCATCAATCCCGGACAGGCGTTTGCAGCCAAGAAGGTGAAGGTTTATTCGTAAGGAGATGGCACCAAACCGGGAGTGCCAGGCGAGCTCGAGCTCACAGACGTGGCTCCCGACGGTCGGGGCCAGGGCTGGGGTGCGTCCAGCCTGCGGGCTGCGCGCCACGTGGTCTGGCCCGGCCGAGGCCTCCCCCAAGAGCAGCAGTTCCAGCCATCACGTCGGGGTGAGATCAGTAAATGCTTGACCCAATACAGCTAATTTTTAAGTTGATAATTTTGTATGGCCCTCGAATGATGTTATAAACGTCCAAAGGGCCCTTGGCAGACAAAGGTGGCTGGGCGTGGGCTCTATAGGGGACAGTCACTCATCATGCTGGGGTCGGGGTCTCTCCTGACCGGTCTGGCCCTTGTCCATCGCGTCCATCGGCTGGTTTCCCAAGTGGGCAGTGGGATCATCGGGCTTTTCTGAGCCTGGAGCTGAAACACAGCCGAGGCCGAGATGTCATCCTGCTTTGCCTGAGACTCTGTCTCCAAGGTCAACAGACCTGAGGCTTTGTTCCCGAGATTATTTGATGTGACAGGAACCTCCTTGTCTTGAGGGCCTGATGATGACGGGAGTGGCCGAGCGAGGGAGGAGGGGACAGGTGAGTCAGGTGCCAGGCGAGGACAGAGCGACCGGAAGGTCAGGCTGAAGCAATGAAGTTTCTGCGAGTTACAGAAGCTGACTGCTTAAAATACCGCTCCCAAGAGAATCAAAATAGGAAATATTTAGGGATACGTTTGACAGGAGACGTCCAAGACCCGTACTCTGAAAACTAAAAAATATTACAAAGAGAAAGTAAAAAAACTAAACCCGGGAGGGACACGGTGCTTACGGACAGGAAAGCTCATCTCCACCGAGACGCCAGTTCCTCCCAGCTGACCTGCGGGTTCAACCCGATCGGGGCCAGACCCCCGAGAAATGTTTCGGAGAGACTGAGAAGCCAACGCAAAGACGTACGTGAAAACGCGAAGGACGTGAGGTGGGCGAATCGGCCTAAAAGAAAGGGTCGCGCTGGACGACTTCCCCTGACCGCAGGGCTCCCCGCGAGCGGCAGGGAGGCCGCGGCCCAGCTACTGGCGGGAAGAGCCACGTGGGCAGGTGGACCGGGCGGAACAGGGCAGGGAAATGGGCCCACACACGTGGTCCCCGGACTTCCAGCCTCATTACCCAGGCAACTCAGCGGGTTAATCGTCACTCGAGGACATTTTTTCCACTGCTTTTCGGAGACAGTGGAAGGGAGGGAGAGAGAAACATCGACGGGTTGCCTCCCGCACGAGCCCCGACTGGGCCTGGGAATCGAACCTGCCACCGAGGTGCCTGCCCTTTACCAGGAATCGAACCTGCGACCACGGAGCAAGCAACACCGGCCAGGCCGGGAGAGGACTTTTTCTCAGACAGAAGGTGCTGGGACAGGGCACAGCCATGAAAGGGAGCACCAGCCCTCCCCTCGATCGTGACCGAAAATTAACTGGAACACAGCACAGGCCTCGCGGAGAGATGAGGCCGAAACTTCCAGGGAAAAAGCACAGGTGGGGACCTCCCTCACCTCGCTTGGGTTTGGCAAAGATGTATTAAATACAGCATTTGGAAAAAAAAAAAAATCAATACATTCAACCTCATTAAAAATTTTTTAAACTCTTTGAAAGACACAGTCGGGAGAAAATACTTGCAAAACATACAGTCTTTGCAAAAAAATAAAAATTAAAAAAACCACAAAGAATTTATATCCAGATCACATACAGAACTCTCTCCACTCCATCATGAGACGAACAACCCAGCAGAGAGACAGGGAGCGCTGGCCGTGGCTCAGCTGGCTGCACTGGTGTCCTGTGCACCCAAAGGTGGCGGTTCCATCCCCGGCAGGGCTCATGCTGGGTGGTCGGACGGCCAAACAATGTTTCTCTCTCTCTCTCTCTAAAAAGAAAAAAAAAAGCCAGGAAAAGGTCTGAAGGGACAGTCCACAGGTAAGCTGTGGAAATGGTCCATAAGCAGGTAACACGTGACCAGGGAAAGGCAAATAACCCCCGGGGGCGACACCGCGCAGCATCCTTGGGGTGCCAGCAGCGAGGGCCGGGCACGTGGAGCCGGGCAGGCGGGGAGCACCGGCCTCCTCGGCTGCGGGGGTCGGAGCCGGACGCCCACAGTGCGGACGCCGCTTGGACACGTCCTTACAAACTGCCCACAGGCCTGCAGGGGAAGGTTCCAGCAGCCAGAACAGGAAACCCTGGAGCCCACCCAGGCGCACCCACTCCAGCGGGCAGGCGGGTCGAGGCGCGGGCGCAGGGGGTGCTGCCCGGCTGTAGGGAGGGGACGGCGGTGCTGGAGGGCGGATTAATGAGGGCGTCTCGGAGACGCCCACGTCCTAATCCCTGCAACTGTGACCGCGCTCCGTGACCAGCGGACCCGAGGCCGCAGGCGGATCTCGGTTGCTAGGCCGCCGACTTGGAAATAGGGAGATTATCCGGATTACCCAGCCGTGAAATCACAGGTGCTCGAGTGGGCGCGGGACCTGCGGCTGGCCCGCTGCTGGCCTTGGAAGGGGAAAGAGCCACCAGCCTGGGAACACGGGGCCTCCACGGCCCAGGAAGGAACAGGGAGGCCGGCGGGCGGGGGAGCGCGGTCCCGCGACCAGGAGCCACCCAGGGACCGGGAGGCAGACTCGGGACCTCCAGGACTGGAAGGGAGCCTGTGTGTGTAGTTAAGCGCTGGGCACGGTGCCCCACGCAGACGCCGAGAGCGATGCTCAGATGCCAGCAGTGAGCCGGCGAAACCTCGAATAATTCCGCTGAGGGACAGTCGGGGGAATGAGCGCCTGCTGCTGGTTCCTCCGCAGGACAAGGGCGTGGTGATAACAGGTGGCCACGGCCTGCTTGTCCCCTTCCCCTCGGAGAGTGCACCCCCGCAGCCTCGGCCAGACCCGACAGTCCAGAAGCCAGGGCCCGTCAGTCACACACACGCACAGAGGACAGAGAAGACTGTCGCAGGCAGACACCGGACGTCCCTGCAGAGGCTCAGCACCCAAGGCTCCCTGGGGTGTGCGGGGCCCATGGGGTCACATGGGACCTTGGGGCCCGGGGAGCCGAATGGAACTTGGTCCCATTTCCAAATGCGCGGGGGGTTTTCACAGGACAGGGAGAGGGTCACGGGCACCTCCACGAGCCCCGCGGGCTGTGAGGGAGGGCATCTGGGGGCTCCGGGGGCAGAGGAGAGGGGACTGTGGGCCCGGGCGGGCCAGGGAGAGGGGCCTGGAAGCTGCGATGCCTGGGGGGACGGGAGAAAGCTGAACCTGCGTTCCCCGCGGAGGCGAGCAGGCGTCTGAGGCGGCCGGGGACAGACTCAAGGTCCCCATCAGAGAAATGCAGGTGCTCAGACCAGGAATCCAGGGGCTGTGTCTGGGGGTCGAGCGTGGGGCTGGGCGTGGGGCAGAGGGACCTGCCGGTGGAGGCTGAGTTGTGTCCCCCGAATCCCAGCATTGGAGCCTGACACCGGCACCCCGGAATGTGACCGCCTGTGCAGGTGATTAAGCTAAAATGAGGTCACTAGAGTGGGTCCTAATTCAATATGACTCGTGTCCTCGTAAGAAGAGGAGACCGGGCCCTGGACACTGTGGCTCAGTTGGCTGAGTGTCGTCCGATGCCCAGAAAGATTGTGGGTTCAATTCTTGGTCCGGGCACATGCCTGGGTTGGGGGTTCAATGCCCGGTTTGGGGCCAGTATGGAAGGCGGCCAATCGAGGTTTCTCTCTCCCTCTCTCTAAATCGATGAACATACCCTCGGGGGAGGTCAGGGCACAGACACACCCAGGGGACGGCCCCGTGGGGACACCGGGAGAGACGGCCGCACACGCCCAGGAGAGAGCCAGCCCTGCGACACCTGGATCCCGCCTCCAGGACAGGGACAGGGAGCGTCCGTGTTTCAGGCCCCATCTGTGGACTTCAGGGGCCGCCCCGGACACTAACGCGCTGCTTTTCTGACAAACCCCCGAGAACGGTCAGCCTCCTCTCTCAGGTGGCAGGAAAGCGGCAAATCAAGTCCAGCGTGTCCCTTGAGTCCGGGGTGGGGGTCCTGTGGCCCTGGAGGCTGCGTCAGGGGCGGTGATGGTGGCAGGAGGGGGCAGTGCCCCAGCCTTTGTCCCCAGCCTCCAGGCGAGTGGCGAGGGCAGGAAAAGGGCCGGCAGGTTCCTCGCCGCCTGCCGCCTGCCCCCTGGGGTGGTAGGTGGGAGCGGGACCCCGGGGTTCGAATCCTGACTCTGCGCCCTGGCCAGTGTGGGTCAGTGGTTAGAGTGTCGGCCTGGTCAAGGGCACATACCCGGGTTGTAGGTTTTATCCCAGGCCCCGGGCGGGCGTGGGCGGGAGGAACTGGCTCTAAAAATCAACGGGAAAATATCCTCAGGTGAAGATTAACAAGAACAACAAAAACCCTGACTGTGCCGCTTCCTAGCCCCTCAGCCCATCCACGCCCCTGGCCTCTCACCTGTGACGTGGGTGGTGGCTCCGCCTCTCTCGAGGGCAGGCAGGTGGTGCCCCTCCTGAGGCTCTCCGGGCAGCGTTCCGCTCCGCGTGGTAAACACCGGGGGAGCCACCGTCCTCGGCCTGCGACAGCAAGTCAGGGGTTCGCACATGAGAGGCCAGCAGGGCGCCTGGTGTCCTGCTGGAGGAGCCAGGAGGAGAGGTTTCAGGGACAGGACCTTCTCTTCTGAAACAGGAAAAGCCCGGGGCCGACTGGGACGGTCGGTCACCCTCACAAGGTCACCAGGATGGTCGGTCACCCTCACAAGGTCACCAGGATGGTCGGTCACCCTCACAAGGTCACCAGGATGGTCGGTCACCCTCACAAGGTCACCAGGATGGTCGGTCACCCTCACAAGGTCACCAGGATGGTCGGTCACCCTCACAAGGTCACCAGGATGGTCGGTCACCCTCACAAGGTCACCAGGATGGTCGGTCACCCTCACAAGGTCACCAGGATGGTCGGTCACCCTCACAAGGTCACCAGGATGGTCGGTCACCCTCACAAGGTCACCAGGATGGTCGGTCACCCTCACAAGGTCACCAGGATGGTCGGTCACCCTCACAAGGTCACCAGGATGGTCGGTCACCCTCACAAGGTCACCAGGATGGTCGGTCACCCTCACAAGGTCACCAGGATGGTCGGTCACCCTCGCAAGGTCACCAGGATGGTCGGTCACCCTCACAAGAACATCATTCAACCCAGCACAAGGTCAAGGGGATCAGCGACCAGCAGGGTGGCACATGGGGGGATCAGGGAGCCCCATGTCCCAGGAGGGTGACGCTCTCTCGCTCTCCCACGGGGCTGAACTCCACTCGCCAGCGGGCAGGTCCCCAGAGCCGCCCTGGCCCCCCGGGGCTTTGGGACACCCGCTTCCTCCCATCCAGGGGGCTGTGGGGGGCTCAGTAGCACGAAGGTGGTGTCTCTGCAGCTGAGGACCTAGAAGGGAGGCTGCCTCCCCAGGATGGGGGTCCCGTAGGGGTGGGGAGCATAAAACCCAAGGCCAAAGCCAGCCTCACATGACAACCAGACACACAGGCAGTGGGCGCCTCCCGTCAGGGAAGGAAGTCGCTGGGAGCTGCTGACCACAGGACGGGCCCCATCACGTGCTTGGAGGTCAGCAGGGCCCGGGCCTGGCGGTCACTCGGGACGGAGCCTGGGGGACGGCGGCCTTTCCAGTCGCCCCACAGAAGAATAGAGCGGGTCCCGTCCCCGTACCGGGGCCCAGGGCGCCGGCCGTCTCCTCGGGGGCCTCCTCGGTCTGTCCCCTGCAGGGCCCTCTGGGAACACAGCTTGTGTGTCATGACCAGCCGCCCTCACCTGCGTCACTCAGGCCCCTCTCAGCGGCCTGGGCCACCACCCTTCTCTGTTCCCTCCCAGCTACACAAGGGGTGGCGGGTATGGCGGGCAGATGGGGGCTCCCTTGCCCCCGTCTCTGCTGAACCCACCCCGTCAGCTAACCCCACTCTCTGCTCAGTCCAGGGCCTTCCCGCGGGTCACCTGTCCCTCGGCCTGGGTGCTGGTCCCTGGTGGTCAGGAGTTTTCCTTCCTCCTTGGGTCACAGTCCTGTACGTCCTGATGTGGCCCCTCCCTCAACTGCTCAAGTCACTGTCCCCTCAAGACTTACTGTATTTGTCACTGTCATTGCCCATAACCCCCCGCAGCCCATCCTTCCGGGGGGCAGGGGTGTGTATCTCTTCTGTTCATCAGTGTCCCCAGGGCCTGGCCCTCAGGAGGCATCATACCAGCACCTCATCTCCGACTGGGGTGGGACAGGACCCGATTCCTGCTCCGGGGACAAAACTCAGGCTGGAGACTCAGGGGATTGTTCATGGGACACAGGAGCCACCTGCCCCCACCCACTCTCCCTGCCCTTCTGAGTCACTGCTCCAAAGAGAAGGGGCATTGCAGCCCCAGGCCCATTTGCCCAGCTGCCTGGGAGGGGCTGGGTGCCACCAGGGGGGCCTAGCATCCTGAGAGCCGGCGGGCACTGACCACCAGCCACTGGCCCACCCCGGGAGGCCCTCCTGGCCGTGGGCAGAGGGGGGGCGGGGTGCAGGAAGGCCGATAAGGCCTGTTCCCATAAGGCCTGTTCTGGGAGCTGGAGCCACAGCCGCAGCCAAAGCAGAGCAGGTTCTCCCGGGAGTGGAGGGCGAGGCCTCCCCTGGGCTCCACCAGGACCCACCTCTGCACCCACTCCTGGGAGGTCGTGACTAGGTCACAGTGGCCCTGCCCTCTGGGGGACTGCCATGTGGCGCCCTCTTCCCTGTTGCTCTGCCCTGACATCTCTGGGTGGCAGAGGGGCACTGAGGCGAGAAGGCCCGGGTCCCGCAGAGCAGCGGGCCTGCTGCACGTCACGGAGAGAAGTCAGCTGTGGCCACGCCGGGCGAGGAGAGTGCAGGGGTTTGGGTGGAGCCCTTCACGCCATCAGCCACTAGCTGCTGAGGCACAAGTCACACCTTTGTTCTGTAGGACAATCGGAGGGCCCAGGAGCACTTAGGTGCAGCCAGGACATTGCTCAAATCCTGACACTCCAGAGCCTGCAGGAAAAACAAGCTGCCTGCCACCCGGCCCAGCAGACCAGGCAAGCCACCCAACCACACAGCCAGCCACCTGCCACCCACCCCAGCAGACCAGGCAGAGCGACCCAACCACACAGCCAGCCGGCCTGGCCAGCCCAGCCCACCCAGCCAGTCCCTGGGCCCAGCCCCGTGGCCTCTCCTCCCACA